TTGCCGGCGCCTGCGCCCCCATTGGCCGTGCGCGTCACGTGCCCGCCCAGCAGAACAATAACGCGTAAATCACTCCGCACGCTATTAATGGCCCAGTGTTTTGCAGTCATAATTTTTATAGCAAAAGCCATATGTTTTTATGTAAAGGGATCGTGCCGCTCTACGATCGGGTTTGTTTTAATTGTGGCCAACGAAGATTAAAAGATCAAATCTAGCCTTGCCTCTGTACTCCCCCTTTCCCCCCTCATACACACACTTCTTAAGCGGACTATTTTATATCACAATTAATCACGCCATCAGGGAGGCGCGGGTCCCGCGTGCGAGTGCGGCCAGCGGAGCCCCTCACATAAAATTAGACAATAATTGAAGCCATAAAAAAGCAGCCAAATCGCATTCTCGCTCTACTGTATTTAAATCTATATTTATGATATTTCATAAGGAGTTATTGTTTCAGAAGCCACACAGGCTGGCGGGAAGTCGGGAACGACCAACAGATTCGTTTGCCTCGCCCTGGCTCCCAGCAGTAAAAATTTACGAGGACTTGGAAAGGTTAGACTGTTGTGTTTGGTTGGCGAGCTCCCTGTAAATAATCCCTGCGGTCCCCGGGAGAGGCGAGTTTACCCCCGGCCGCCTGCGAAGTCAAATTCAACGCAGGATCCGTCCCAAACGGAGCAGCCGCCGGCCCTACCAGGGCACTCCAGGCAGGGACTGGCCGCTCAGGAAGTACCGCGGGTGTAGGTCCCCACGGCTACCCGCCTGGAGCGAGGGGCGCAAGAGCAGTCCTTAAATTCGCCTTTGTTGCGAGGACCCCACTGAGGAGCTGGCCAGGAGGGAGCGGCCAGTCGCCCCCAGGGCGAAGGGTTTGAGGGCCTGGTTGGTTGTGTGGGGCGCTCGGCCCCCGGCCGTCGACCCCACGCAAACGCGCACCCAGCCCGCCCTTCTCATCAGCTGGAAATCAGGATTCCCAGGCGCAGGCGGCTGGCGACCTAGCCCTGTGTTCCAGCCTCAGAGGCTCTAACCCTGAGCGCTGCAAGCCTAGTTGAGCTCCCTGAACCCCAACTGGGGAAAAAACTCCAAGTGGCATCAATGGAAGGAGAGTTCGGCTTGGGGAAAGGCAGCCTCGCCTGAGACCCCGCGGCTCCGGCGGCTGGGAGGTCCGCACCGATGTGGCCTGTCCCGGGGCCGTGTGAGCCTTTCAGGGCTCCTTTCCCCCTTTCCAGCTACTACTCCGGGCCTCGCCTTGGTTACCTACGGACCCGGCGACTCGGCGGAGAGGTACAAGGCCCAAAGAGAGGCAACCACAGCTTAAGGTCAGGGCTGGAAATTAGAACGGGGAGGGGCACAAGGGCATCGACTCCAGTCCCATTCCTGGGCCTGGCCACATTGGGGAAGTTTATTTCTCACCCATTGCAGGTAAATTAAAAGGTCACAGGCACTCTGTTAATTGGAAGGAAACTCCCCCCCACCCCCAATTCCTAACAGAAAGCGGCGACTCCTAGAAAAGGGGTAATCAAATTCACGTGTGGATACTGTGCCTGCAACAGTGTGTTTTTCATTAGCCCACTTCCCTGGCGGCGAGGCTGGCGGACTCGGGCGCTTCCCTCCCTCTCTCTCTTTTTTGCCTTCATCCTCACCAGCAGTTCCAGTAATCCCCCCCCACCAAACACCCTGACACACTTCCGGCTGGGACTCTCATATACCAGCGAGGTTGCCAAGCCGGGTGGATACCGACAGAGTGCCCCTTCCTGCACCCACGCCTGGAAGAGGGAAGCGGCCGACATAATGAACTCCGACACGGCCCGTCATGTCCGCCTCATCTCCCTCCCCCTAATATTTTCCTTGCCCTATAAATTCCTCTAGGTCATGCCCACCCCCACCACAGTCCACCCTGTCCTAAATACCCCGCAGTCCGCCAGGCCTCTGAGATTTTCATTTAAAAAATTAACCCTGAAGGAAACCCTGGCTCCTAATTTTAAGTGTCTGCAAATGGGCTGGGCATGTCTGGCTGCCTTTTCCACTTTTTATACCAGAGAAGACACTGATTATTTTAGTATTTTTTAAGTAAAAAAGCTGTTCCTTTAAACAGCCTTAGCCCCCAAATAAGAGAATTGCTGAACAATTAGCAGGCCTTGAGTGTTAAGCAGATGTTACTGGTGCCTAGAAAGAGGAGAAAAATCAGAAAACCAAATATTGTCTCACTTCAGCCCAAAGGTTTGGAGCCAGAATATTCAGACTTTTTTGTCTGCTTTTATTTTGGAAGTGAAAGAGATTGCGTATCATAAAGAAATAGTAAATGACTATAATTTAAAACTGCCCCTTCTTGACTGAGATTTCTAAAACTGTGATCTCTGAAATTAATAAATATCCTGGTCCAGAAAATGGTACGGAGGAGTTGAAGGGAATGGGGTATGCGGTCCTTTCAGACAGCAGGCCGGTGGCTGTGCAACGGAACAGTTCCTGGGCCTCCAGTCCAGGCAGGGAAGGGAAACAGCTCTGTGGGCACGAATCTGTAACTGTGTGTTGGGGGTAGGGAGAGATAGTTTGTTTTCTGTTTTCTGGAGTGCAAATGGTCAGACTGGCTCCCATCTGTAGACTACAAGTTGGAACGATGACCCAAGTTTATCTCAATGGCTCTGGAATTTGGGATTCTTTTTGCCCACTTGAAACATACTGGCTCTGCTAAGGGTCCCCTTCTCCAGTACCCAGAGGCACAAAGGTGCCGTATGGAACATATTTTGTACCTAATAGAAGCCACTAGCAAGCGAGCAGTCAAGCTTTGCCCTAGCCAGTCTCCCTCAATGCGGTCAAACCCCAAGCTGTGACCGGCAGGCCGGGAAGAGCCGGCTAAGAGCTTCCCAGAGAATGGCCAGGCTCCAGCGAGGCTGGTTGGGCCTCAGCTCCAGTTCCCAGTGAGGCTAGCAAAGGCCTCCCTGCCCTCGATATGTGCACACAAAGCTGCAGCGAATGCCCCCTAACCAGATCTCCTAGTCAGCCTTTAGCGACAGGCGGAGACGAAACGCAAGGCCGCCGCCATCCGGTCGTGATCATAACCGAGGCCTTGTCTGCACAGTAACATACCAGGCCCAAACCCACCGCCCTCGGCAGCCGCCCCACGCGGGCCCTTCCTCAGCAGACTTCCCAACCTCTACTTGAGACACAGAGGAAAGTGAGACTCCCTAGGCTCTCCTGAAGCCAGCCCTAAGCCTCTCCCCAAGGATGCTTTGGGAAAGAGATAAGGAGGTGAGATAGAATCTGGCAGAGACGGAAGATGAAAAAAAGACAAACGGAAGAAAAGAAAGCAGGAAGGAGCAAAGGAAAGAAGAAAAAAGAAAGAAGGGATAAAAGAGGAAGGGAAGAGAGGGAAAAGAAGGAAGAAAAGAGAAAGAAGCGACTCCTAGCAGAGGCCGGGCTGATAGAGAGAAGGGTAAGTGACAAGGCCAGGATCCCAACCTCTGCCTGCCCTATCTTCCTAGTCCAGCCTGAGTCTCCACTGGAAGAAGATTCTTTACTGAGCTCACACCCGGGACTGGTGTGTGTGTGTGTGTGTGTGTGCGCGCGCGCGCGTGTGTGTGTGTGTTCCAGCCTTACAAGAGACTGGCAGGAGGTCCCTGGGCAGGCGCAGGCCTCTAGTGGGGGAGGCTCAGGATGGAAGCGTGCGCCCCTGACCTTGAATGGCCCAAGGCCCAGAATTCCTACCACGCCCCCGGCGTCCGCGAAGGAGCAGCCAACCTGACCCTACCTGCTGTGGGCCAGGTGGAGGTGTGTGGTGGAAGGGGAAAGCCGGCCGGCTGGCAGAGCGCTACGGAGAAAGACACAAGGCTCCTGCGCAGGGAAAGCCGAGGATGCCACCGCAGGCCTGGCACGACCAGGGCCGTGATGCCCCGCCCGGCCCGACCCCAGCGCGCAGAGTACCTGGAGACGATTTCAACTGAAGTAATGAAGGCAGTGTCGTGCTGTCGAGAGAAAGGTGGATCCCAACAACAGGAAACTACCTAAATCACCGACCAGTTCTGGTGCTGCCCG